AGGCCAAGTGTGAAGGGTCACCAGGGCAGAGAGCAAAGCTACAAGCCCTTGCTTGACCACCCCCTGAAGTATTAACCCCTGGAGATGACATCTAGGCCTTGGCTACTAGTATGTTTAGCACCAAGCCCAGAAAAGCAGCAAAACCAGCGGGGGAGACACCATGATGTTGACCTGAGGATAGACACCAGGAAAGCTGATGAATATTTTATTGAGATCCTCCCCAAGCCCTCAGAAAAAAGCCCTCAGAAAGGAGGACCCAGTTGTGGCTATCAATGGAGCATGCCCCGCCTTTCTCCACCCTTCCCCCCGGTCCATTTTTTGCCTCTCTTTCTCCTAAGCTCAGGGCCCTTCTTTTGCCTCTGTAACTTGTTTCTGAGCCCATTTCTTCTAGGCTCACTCTACCTCTGTGACTTTCTAAATAAACATTCTCTTATAGTTTGAGTCTTGGCTCTGAGTTCTTTCTTAGCCAGAATTCAAGCACTGAGGTTGCCTAATCGAGTTCTCATCTGAGTATACTTGTTGCTAACGCCTGTTGCCATTTTTCCACTGCAAACATAACTAAGATGGCTGAGATGAGGATCCTTTGATGCTTCTAAATTAATCTTTTGCATGCACAGTTAGAAAGAGATTGCTATAAAATTAGGCAGAATGAATGGAAATCATATTTAATTGGCCTCCTGGAACTTCAAAAAGAAGATTTAGATAAATAGATCTACCTATGGTGTCATTTAGGTGTCAATCTAATTCTTTGAAGTATTAAAAAATAGCTGTCCTTATTTTAAAAGGGGGAAAGTCATTTGGAATTTGACTTGTCAAGAAGAAATATAAATTGTAAATGCCCAAAGAGCAAAAGTTGGATCTAATTGTCCTTTTACAAACTAGTGAGCTCTTCTCATGGCTAAAAGGTCTCTGCTTGTATCTGTATGTGTGTCTATGTATATGCATGCTATTCATGTGAGATAGCTTTCTACTAACCTATGATTTTGTTGAAATTAATTTATTTTTATTTAAAAAAATTTTTTTTAATGTGAGTTGCATGTTTTTTTTTAAAAAAATGTATTTCTTTATTGGTTTCAGAGAGGAAGGGAGAAAGAGAGAGAGATAGAAACATCAATGCTGAGAGAGAATCATTGATTGGTTGCCTCCTGCACGCACCCCACTGGAGATTGAGCCCGCAACCTAGGCATGTGCTCTTCGCCGGAATCAAACGTGGGACCCTTCGGTCCTCAGGCTGACGCTCTATTCACTGAGCCAAGCCGGCTAGGACTTGTTGAAATTAATTTAAATGCAAATCTTTGCTTGTAAGAATTGGATATTCTAAAATTCTTGGTAATATAGAAAATAACCTAAATGTTTTTGCAAGTTCTTGTGACCTAAGAATAATCTTTAATAAATAAAACCTAGCTTAAGTTTGTTGGTTTAAGTAAAATAGACTTGTCTTTATTTTGCCTGGGTTTTATAAAACTAAGTTTATGTTAATAATTGACTTTTATGTTTCTTTTTTTTTTTGCAAGAACACTATATTT